TTTGTTAAAAAATTAGAATATCACGTCTATGACAAATCACAGCAATTACATGGTGGGAATTGAACCCGAGATTACAGGTCAGAACGGAAGAAATAATCGCAGACTACTGTTATCTCGACATTTGCTGTTTATCACTTTTATTTCATACCAGACTGGGCAGCAGGAACAATGGTGACAAATGTCTGTGTATTGTTATAGTCACTTCATCTGGCAACAAACAAGTTTCGCAGGCCACCCAGAAAAACACGGACGACTTTCACGAAGAATAAAACTTAAAAACACATGCCTGCTGTAGCGTTGGCCAACCTTTATCGGGCGAAGAGCAGCTTCGAAAAGTGTATAATTTATAGTGAACACCGTAGAACCCATAAAAATAAGACAACTGAAGTATTTAGACTGCGAAGAGATTGTGTTCTCACAACAAGACATTGTCCACGACTTTATTTTGGCACATTCTATATCGATCTCACGAAAAATACGTAACGAAAGTATTTAAGTAGTATATCATGTGTGGTATTTTTTCTACTCATACAAGAAATAAAGAATGTCACTCATATTTCCTAATATATCGGCTGATCATTTTTTATTCTTCTTCGAGGAAAGTAATTGTACCTGTGCTCGAAATTAAATACTATCTGCACGATTCTACCATGTTAAATTTTTCACTGATGAAAAACTGCACTTATTTAACCGAATACCGCATTTTGGTATGTGTTACAGATACAATGTTCCACAGTACAGACAACATTCTGGTCTTAGTTGCGTAATATCTTGTCCAATCTCGACTCTTCCAATAATCCTCTTATCCTCTGCCAGCAGAATCTAATTTCGCCTCCAAAGGCTACAGAGTAAGGGACATTATGCATCATTAATCCGTATACAGTTTCTGAAGCATGGTACTAAACAGACCAGGGTTGGACATGGCAGAACTGACACTAGACAAACAATAAAGTAAAGAAATATCGACCCAAAAGCATGTAGGCCCATGTACATATCAAGATAAACATTATACAGTCTAGGTCAGGGGTTATCAACCTGGGTCGCATGCATGTATGATACTTTATGACTAAAAGACTACTTCATCGCCACAGTTAAACATGAGCAGTTTATTAAATTAACAAACCTGTTAAAACGTTACTAAGTAAAAGGCGTATGTGAAACTGAGCCAGTGAGATTTCAGGTTCTCACAGCGGCGAATATGAAGATGGCAGTCTTCTGGGTTGTTGCCCCTTAATGACGAAGTCTGCAAGCACCTCCGAAATCTCTGTAAATTTCTACCAGACAACGGCGCAACAACCCAGAAGACGGACACGTTTTGCGATAGTTACATTTGTAATAAATCACTGTAATGATTCAGTAAGTTATCATTTACGTGTGGAAGACGGCTAGCGAGTAGACAGTTGAATGTGGCTAGCGGTCTTAAAAGGTTGAAAATCCCTAGATTTTTAGCACTGGTATGAATCTTCAGGTATTTAAACAAAATTTCAGTCAACACGAAATGTCTTTCACTCACATAAATAAATCAAACAAAGCCAGTAGGTAACTATTCAGTGCTAAGTGGGTCCCCAGTCACCACTGCATGACGCGCCTTCAAGTTGGAGACGCAGGAGATGGCCTCCAGATATGGAGGGTAGCTGCGAATATATTGAATAACCAATCTCGACAGCCGACAAGGGGTGATAAGCGATCTTTGGGTTTGGGCGAGGGTGTACAAATCTCAGCGTGAAACCACGACATTCAGTATTCGGACATGGTTGGGGGCTGTTGTAAGTATGGCAATAAACATTTGGATTTCATAAAAGTGACCTATTGTGACTAGCATTTCACGAATATCTCATTGGGCACCCCTGCTGCGCGATAATGTGCCGAGTTATTCAGACATGCCTCTCACGTTCATGTGACACATCGTGCGTCACATTATGGGGGATTAATAAGCATTTCCTGAGCACAAGCCGTTTTAAAGGACTCCCTAATATCGCCCGCACTCACCTTCGTGGTGGCACTAAGAATTTCTGGTTGCGTGGGGTAACAGATCACGCAGAACGCGTGATTAAACTTTAGCAAGTGTGAAAATGAGTAAGGATAACATGAAACGAATTTTCAATGTCTACAGCCTGGAAAACCACCATGAGCCTTCGATCTTGATTTGATCGCATTACCAACAACACTACTTGTAGATAAAACGTTTTAAGTTATTAAGTTCGTTGTTATTTTTTTCTGCACGTCACTTTTCACACTCTTTATACATTCAACATACACGGGATAATATACTACAGACTTCCTTATGTCCAGATAATCTTAGCACTCCTTTATCTGTGGTAATTAACTCGGTGGAGGAGAGAACTTTTTGAGAAGCTACTCGTCGCCCAGCTAATCAAATTCCCCGCTTTTTATGACATTCTAAAGTTCATTACCGTGTTCACAAGATCCCGCCAGTGGTTCTTATCCTTAGCCAGATGAATCCAATCCATATCTTCAAGCCCCATGTCTTCAAGATACCTTTTAACATTATACTGCCATCTACGCTTAGGTCTCCCAAATTTTTTCTCTCAGGTTTTGTGACTAAATTTTGTAAAAATTTCTCTCCTGTCCCATGAGTGCTATATGTCCCGCCCTTATCATTCGTCCTGATTTCATAGTCATTAAGGTGAAACTGTGAAGCTCCTTCATGTCAAGATATTCTTTTCATGAATCCGTTCTCAAACCCCCTTATCAATCTATTCCTTAATAAGCGAGACCAAGTTTCTCACCCGTACAAAACAACAGGCCGGTTACCACTGACAGCAGTATTAATACGGCGAAGCACGCAGAAGATTAATTTGTGCATAACAGTACTTTATTTGTCGTGGCTTACAGTTGTCCCGCTGTCCAGCAGTATAGGACAAGGCGTTCTTTGTACGTTTTTGCTGCGTTGCTTGTCCGTCTTGCCTGTGCAACCGAATGTGTTCCAGACGCGGGGAAACTCATTACAGGCCCGTGGAGTCACAAACGGAAAGCATAGCCTATCGATGCAGGCTGCATCACCGCAACAAGCACGCTACTGTATCTCCCAATATCTTTCACTGAGTACACTGGCTGACAATTCCATGAAACCGTGCTTATGAAGCTTTAATTTGGCGGTACGAACCAGGCATCATGTACAGTTTTGTTGTAACTAACAGTTACATCTCAGGTCAACGCACCAACATCTAACCAACAATACATTAAATGTCAGTCCACGTCTAGTCTGTCTGTCGCGTCATTTATTACATTGTTACAATGGCCATGGATTACGCTGCAACAACGACCTTGGATATTATTTTACAACAAAGAGTACACATTTATAATCTTGTTAAGCTGTGTTTTTGGAATTTCCAAACACTGTCGATTGTGGTATTCTGGGTAGTGACGCCATGTAGTCTTATAACCGTTTTTCAACGTTTCGGAGGAGGGGACTGATGTAGCTAAAATCAATTACGATATAAATTATTCATAAATTCGTCGGGAGACTGTACATCTGTAAGAATCGTAGTGGCGCATTGTTTCATATTCGCATACAATTCCCTCCACGACTTAGGAACATGGTCGGAGTGAGAATGGGTGAAATTGAAGGATGTTGCTTACAAGAAGTTCCTTAGAAATCATCGAAATATAATAGGCATATGTCCTTTCGTCTGACGAAACGATCAATAAAAAAACATTTCTGACTTGGGGAATATGACATATAAAGTAATTCTTGGTAATATTCTGTCCGAATCGTTTACCCTTGTTCTGCCAGCGCATCGATCCAAATATCCCGACCCTGATTTTCTTCTTGTGAAACGCCCTTTCCCTGTACTAGCAGCTCGTCCCTCAACCCTCCGTATTTGCCACCACGACTCCCTTCATCCCCGATTCTCTCCTTCGTCTTCCATTTCCACCCAGCCGGGGGCGAACTGCTGGGAAAACAGCCCCAGGGCCTTGGGAAATTAATGGATGTACGTGCTACGTATATGAGGCAATATCATGCAATAAACTTTTGGATCATTCACTGGGAAATGTTGGGGCCGAATACTGAAACCGCGATATCCGTCAGAAAGTTCAATCTTACGAGTATCTTATCGAGTAATCCCAGTCGTTCAAGAGATTTCTGACTGCACTGATTGTTTTAATTAATAAATTATATATGATGGTCAATACTATGACCAATCCGCCACTGTTCGCTTCCCTGCCACTTTTTATACTTACAGAATTTCCCTTGTTTGCATGTCACTTCCTTTTTATGAAAATGCAGGGAGGCTCTTAGCGTAAATTTAAAACTGTACCAATTTAAGAAATGTTCTGGTGAAGGCTGGCGTAAAGCAGTAGCAGTCTTACACAGTAGCATTAGCTTTAATAGTTAATTACAGAGCATTGAAAGCGCTTTAAAAAAGTATGAATATTGGACTTCAGTTGCGGAATACGCAAGAACAGTAATAGCAGATGTGGACCTTAGTAGACTATCTCCCACTTTAACAGCATTCAGCAATATAATGAGAGAAGTCGGAAGATAAAGATTCCAGTCATAATTAACGACGATCGAAAAATCTGTGTAACTCTAAGGATCAGGAAGAATGCAGGCCTCGCTCATTTTATCCTTTATAAAAATGATAACCCCAGTAATAATTGCTGAAGAGAACAAATTACGAATGTCCTCACTACACTGTTTTCTGCAGGCACCCGTCCCGTCCCTCTCAGATCCAAATATCGCACTCAGCACCCTGTTTTAAAACACCTTAAATTTCGAAAATGACTGTCTTATGGGATATGGCGACGTGTAGCGAGGTTTCAGAGGTACTTGCTGCGTCTATCATCAGGGCGGAAGACTTCTACAGACTGAGATGTGTGCAAAGGCCTGGTCATTCCTCCCATGTTCTATTTTTAAATTACTCGATACATAACTTCAAAAAATTATTTGATTTTCATAAAAAAAAACATTCACGTGATTTTAAAGTTGGTCAGACAGTTGGAAAGAATGTGATTCTAACAAGTTTGTTTTCCAGGAGGCAACGCCAGATCCCACGGCCGATCCGGTGCAGCTGAAGAAGGCGCTCGAATGGGAGTTGAGTTTGGACACGCGAGATTTAAGGTCGCACGCGTGGTATCACGGGGCCATCCCGCGACAGCGCGCCGAAGAGATCGTGGAAAAGGACGGTGACTTCCTCGTGAGGGACTGCACTTCACAGCCGGGCAACTACGTCCTCACCTGCCGCTGGAAAGGGCAGAGCCTGCACTTTGTCATCAACAAGGTACCTACTGGTTCTCGGCGCACAGAGAAGAACGCTGGTGACCTCAGCACATTTTTAAAAAAAAATCACCGAATTTCTGTGATTTCCCAGTATTCGTGATAAAATATAAAATAGTGTACAAATGAACAAAGATGGCTACACATCTATTAACTTTACGTCCCTCAACCGACATGACGTTGAACAAGCTCCACCTAACAGAAGTCCTCAACGTAGCCAATTCAGCAAGCGTGGTTTTATATGTAAGTCTGTCCCTTAAATGAATCGTTGAAAGTAATCCATCAAACTGCCATGAGCAAGGTATATTATTTTAGTTTAATTCTGAATGAAATTTTTTTACAATTATTTGTTAGGTAGGAAAAATAATGGTGAGTACACTTAGCAAAGATAAAATAGTGTGCTTTTTAAGCACTACACCATTGAGACACATCGGTAAGTGGAGGTATAACTCCACTCATTCTTGACCTCGAACATTTAGTAATAATGACGTGCAGAATCGTTCGTCAAAAACAGCACAGCTAGCTGATTTGAGAGAAATATGGAAGAAATCAGTCGTGATCTATTTAAGGTATTAACCCGGCATTCAGCTGAAGGGATAGAGGAAAACCCTAAAACTAAACCTTGGGCAGAATAATTGACACCCAGCCAGAATTAGAAATGCACACCTTCCAAAAGTAACTTAATGGCATTAAGCTTAATAACTTTTATCTGTTATATACACACATATATATATATATATATAAACACACATTTTAATTTTATACATTTATGCCTAACATGAATTACTTCCGAACATATCGTGTGTGCTCATCTACCTTAAACTCTGTTCTTGTCTGTTAAGTTTTACAACCACATTTTAATATAATTTAATGTGACAGATCAGACAGAAATGTAAAAAAAGTCTACTATAACCTACCAATATGTAATTTCCCGTTGGCTGTTACTAACATGTCAACAAACCTATATTGGCTGAATATAGTATCATCAATAATGTCATATGAGGAATGGCTGCCTTGAATTAAATTATGAACTGCCTGGCACAAAAACGTTCACATCAATCAATCAATCAATCAATCAATCCAGTCAGTCAGTTAATCAATCTTCCTTGAAGGCATACTATTCCTTATAATTATCACACATATAATTTAAGTAATACCATAGAATAAATAATGTTTTATAAAACAATAATATTTATATATTATTTATATTGATAATATTTTTTTTGACAAACCTTTTTGTGTATTGCAGGTTGTGATTCAGCCAGACACTGTGTATGAGAGGGTACAGTACCAGTTCGAGGATGATGCTTATGACACCGTACCCGATCTCATCACCTTTTATGTAGGTAGCGGCAAAGCTATTTCGTCAGCTTCTGGAGCTCGCATCCAGACACCAAGAAATCGTCTTTACCCCTTATCTTTCTATGCAACAAAATATGGTCTCCAGCAGCAAATTACTGGCAGTGGAGGGGGTGGTTCTTGTGTTGTTTCACCCCTGGCATCACCCTTAACAGCAGCTGCTGGCACACTCCGCTACAATCCGTACAATTCCTACAAGAGCCCAGTACACTCACCACCCAGAACTAAACGTGAGACACCTCCTCGTTTACCTAGTAAAAAACAACGGAGTCAATCCCTAACACCGGCAGAAATAAATGGAAGACCTCAGCAGATCATGTCACCAAGAGGACCAGAAGAGAAGAGCAACAGTGCAGATGGAGTCATCCAGAACTCGACAATGACGCGGTCAGCATACCACGAATCCAACGCAGGTAACAGTGGA